GTGCGTCGTGTCTGACTCTGCGTTGTCAGCCCTCATGTCCCTTCCTCTCTCTGACCCCAGGGCCTCTCTCCTGCTCAGGGCCAGGCCCCTCTCCAGTTCCCAGTCCCCCACGAGGAACGGACACAAAGCAGCCACCATCCTCTGACAGACAGAATGTGTCCCTCACACGAAGGCAGAAAGCACGGAGGGGGAGGGGCGCACAGTCACACCGGCAGCATCCTCAGGACATCCAAGCATCCCCTCTCCCGGACAGATGTGCTGGGGGGTGGGGGGGTTTCCAGTCGGGAGGGGCTGGAGCCCAGTCCTGTCTTCTCCCCATCTGGGTGGGGTGAGGATGGCCAGGGTGTGGCCGGGCACCCGGATGCGGAGTTCCGTGTCCCGGGGTAATTTGGGATGTGGACACAGAGGCACCATCCGACCCTGAAATAGCAGGGCCGAGGGGCTCAGGAGCCGAAGAGGCGGGAAGGAGAGGGCTGGTCGGCTGGCCCTCAGGAGGTGCCAGCCAGGGTTCTTCTTCTTCCTGACGCGCAGCCGAGAGAGGAGTGTCACTTGACCTTGGGGCACATTCCAGAATGAGGCCACCGCCAAAAATAGCACCCAGGAGCCTGCCACCTATCCCGCCTGCACCGATCACGCACCCCGGGAGGACTCGGACTCCTCGGGGAGGTGGGAGGAGGAGGAGGAGCCAGAATCGGGAAGTGGAGCCTGGAAAAGGAGGGGACCCCATAGACGCCCCTTCACCGTATCTACCCCCGCCCCTCCCCCCCAGCCCCGACACAGAGATCTGGCTCGGGGTCCGGCAGACACAGAGTTGCACAGACTGTGGGCGCGTGTTTACAGAGCCGGGGCGCAGCGAGGCTTCCTGGAGCTGTCTGGAAGGATGAATCGGCATCGGCTGATGTTTTGCTCAGGAATCTAGGGCGCAACGGCTTGTGTGTGTGATAAAAATGCCGCGTCACATGGCAAGGTCGTCAGGCAGCTGGGTGCTGAGTGTGCGCCTGGCAGGGGGCGGGCTCTTTGGCGACCTTTGGGTCCCGATGGGATTCCACACTGCCCGGCCCCGTGTGTGTGTGTGTGTGTGTGTGTGTGTGTGTGTGTGTGTGTGTGTGTGTGAGAGAGAGAGAGAGAGAGAGAGAGAGAGAGAGAGAGAGAGGAAGAGAGAGGGCGGGGAGAGGAGAAGAGGAGACTGGGAGAAATATCCTAACGTGAGCATTCAGAACTCTGAAGTCCGTCCGCCTAGTTTATGGCTGTGGCTCTGCCCCTTAGCAGCTGGGCGATTTTGGGCACAAGATCTTATCCTCCAGTTTCCCCACCTACAAAATGGCACCCTATGCCGAAACCGGTTTGGCTCAGTGGATAGTGTTGGCCTGCAGACTGAAGGGTCCCAGGTTCAATTCCAGTCAAAGGCATGCACCTTGGTTTTGGGCACATCCCCGGGTGGGGGGGGAGGGGTATTTGGAAGAGGAAGAGGTGTGTAGGAGGCAGCTGATGGATGTTTCTTCTCCATGTTTCTAACTCTCTATCCCTTTTCCTTCCTCTCTGTAAAAAAAAATCAATAAAATATATAATTTTTTAAAAAAGCAAAACGGCACCCTGCCTGACGTTGTGATGGAGATGGCCAGACATGATGTCCAGTCCTGTCGCACAGCGAGTGCCCGCTCCATGGTGATGCTAAAACAGGCAGCTGAACACAGGGCGTCCTCCCCGGCCGAGGAAGTCACCACGTGGCTGTGCCTCCCCGGGTTCCTCCCCTGGTCCCCGCTCCCTGGCCCCACTGTCCGGGGGGTGACATCAGGGCATGGAGCAGCTGGCCGGACAATGGAGCAGAGTGTCCTGGGAGGCTGGGGAGAACGAGGCTGGAAAAAGCCACGCTGTCCTGCCCCAGTGGCTGTGGGCCGGTCTGGAGACGGCGGCGCCAGAGCAGGCCTCTGAGAGGCAAACAGAGAGAGGGCCTGACACAGGGCGGGGAGGGGCAGGGGGGACCACAGGTGCAAGGGCGGGGGAGGAGTACGGGCCCCAGGTAGACAGGAAAGCAGGTGATCTGGCCTCAGACCTGAAGGAGGGCTCCATCCCCATGTGTCACTGAACACCTACTAGCTGCCTGTCCCTGTGTGAGGCCTCCGACAGAGGACAGAGACTCAGGCGTGGTTTCCAGGGCAGAAAATCAATGCCAGGCAGTGGGTCCTGAGTTACAGTCGGTCCTAAACCAGCCCGTCCCTCAGGGCCCATGTTCTCTGAATCCCAGCTCAGCCCACGTGGGCTGGTACCCTGTGTGGGTGTCCCCTGTGAACAGCAGGCTGAGGTATTGAACCCGTGGAGCCCGAGCCCAGAAGGAAAAGGGGGGGCGGGGGCCCTGGGCCATTGCTCTTGGCCGGGGAGCTTCGGAGGGCCAGGGCGGCCCTCGGGGCCAAGCTCCGTGCCCTCGGCTTTCCCGTTCGACAGGATTAAAAGGGCTGAGTCTAGAGAGAGCTCTGACTCCCCTCTGAGTACAGGCCAGGAAGCTGAGGCTCAGGGAGAGAGGACATGTGTCAGCCCAGCTGCTGACGGAGGGGGTCTGACCGCACGGGCTGGGCTCTCTCACTGCCAGGCCGGCGTTGGAGAAGGGCAGGGACCCCGTGTGTGGGGCAGCGGGTGGGCAGTGAGCTGGCCAGAGGCAGCCCTGCGATGGGACTCCCCTGAACCTCACATCTCCTCCAGGTGGCTTAGCCCCCATCACTGTGCGAGTGTGTGTGTGTGGGGGGGGGGGGGTGACAGGTGCAGGCCTGGCGGCAATGACCCCTACTCATCGGGCCCTCAGCCTAGAAGCATGAGCAGCAGAATGTCTCCCCGTCTCTGAGGGCGAGTGAGGCACACAGTTCCCTCTCTCTAGGCCCGTGGTCGGCAAACCACGTCTCGAGAGCTACATGCGGCTCTTTGGCCCCTTGCGTGTGGCTCTTCCACAAAATGCCACGTGCGGGTGCGCGTACAGTGTGATTGTACAGAAGTCGGTTTTTGGCCTGGGCGAGTCTATTTTGAAGTAGTTCCAACACCGAGCCACACTCAAGGGGCCAAAGAGCCGCGTGTGGCTCTCGAGCCACAGTTTGCCGACCACTGCTCTAGGCTAAACAGAGAGGGGCCTATGGCTGGTGCTCACCCCCCTTTTTTTTTTTAATATATTTTATTGATTTTGTACAGAGAGGAAGGGAGAGAGATAGAGAGTTAGAAAGATCGATGAGAGAGAGAGTCATCGATCAGCTGCCTCTTGCACACCCCCTACTGGGGATATACCCGCAACCAAGGTACATGCCCTTGACCGGAATCGAACCCGGGACCTTCAGTCCCCAAGCCGACGCTCTATCCATTGAGCCAAACCGGTCTCGGCTTTTTGTTTTTTTCTAATTCTCACCCAAGGATATTTTTTTAATTGATTTTTAGCATGGAAGGGAGGGAGAGAGATAGAGAGAAACATCGATGTGAGAGAGACACATTGATTGGTCGCCTCCCACACTTGCCCTGACCAGGGCCAGGGATGAAGCCTGCGGCCTGAGGTACATGCCTTTGACCAGAATCAAACCCAGGACCCTTCGGTCCGTGGCCAGTGTCCTATCCATTGAGCCACACCAGCTGGGGCTCACACGTCCTTGGCGGCTACGTTTTGTGCTCGGGATTTTCCCGGTCCGTTCCTCTGGCCTCTCCTCTCCTGGGCAGCAGCTCATCCCTGCCCTGGCCCCTGCTGCAGGGAGTTACCCCGGGAGGGCTGGGCGGCGCTGGCTGGGCGGAGCCAGATTCCTCCTCGGGCCTGTGGACAGGGGGCAGCTGGCTCCCAGCCCGGGGGACGGACACGCTGTGGGGCGCCCTGCTGCAGGCTCCTGAGCACGCCTTCCGGGCCCGGGAGCAGCCATGAGCCTCCGGGACCAAAGGTGCTGCTGCCTCCTTCCTCGGACCTGAGCCGCATGTCTGCGCACACCAGGGCGCTGGGACCGAGCCTCCCCACGAGGTCCCCTAGGGAGTCACAGCTGGGCGGCCTGCCCTCCCCCCCACCCATGTCTGTTCCCTCCACCCGCCTCTGGCCCACCAGGCTGTCATGAGGAGGCGAGGGACTGAGTTACAAACCGGAACACGTGGGCCGAAGCCCCACACCTTCCTTCCTCTGAGGTCTTCGGAAGGTTCAGTGAGCACCTCAGTGAAGGAGCCTCGGAGCTGCAAGGTGGGCCTGATCTTGGCTGGTCTCTCCATCGCCCGGGGATGGTCCTGCGGGCCAGATCCCTCCAGCACGGCCCCTGAGCAAATGACACCCCACCCCACCCCCGCCACCCGCCCTCACCCGCACATTAGCTCCAATGACCCACACAAGAAGGCTGTTCATACTATGAGCTTTTAATGGGCATCTTCCTCCTACAGCTGAGGAAGACAGGGAGGCCCCACCAGGAGCTTCACCAGTTTCGGAGGGGCCTGTGCAGAACGGAGGGCCGAGGAGGGCCTGGGGGGCAGCGGGAGAGCTGACAGTGGGTTTCCCAGAATCCTTCATGTAGTGGTGGGTGGCTGGACCTGCCCAGGAAGTTCAGAGACAAAATCGCCAGCATGCTGCCAGGTCTCCAAACCTGCCATCCCAGGCCTCACCTACAGCCTCCCGCCAGGCCCTGCAGCTCCCGAGACCACCACCAGGTGGGAGCATTGAGCAGCATTCCTTCCCCTCCCCAGCCCGCCTCCCTCCTCCCTCCTCATTCCTTCACCAGCCCCCTCCCCTGCCTGCTTCTCCTCTTCCTTCATTTCTCCTCCTACCAAAACGGATCCTGGGGTTCCTACTGCTCTGTCCCAAGGAAGCCAGTGGCAGATGAAAGCACCCTCACCCTTGGGCCTCAGCTGCTGGCAGGACCCCCTGGACCTGGACCCTGCGTTCAGTCACTGTGAGTCCTCTGTGGTCCTAGCACCTGGCACCCAGTATAAATGTTCAGAAAATGTCTGTCTGAACAGAACTGGATTAAGGGGGTATAGCTCAGTGGTAGAGCATTTGACTGCAGAACTGGATTAATAAATCAACAATCAATAACCAATCAACAAAGCCAAGGGGATGAAACACGAGAAACGTGTGTTCTGCTGGCAGCCTGAGAGACCGCAGGCTGACCAGCACCCAAGGGCGCCTGCCGTGCAGCCTCCACCTAGGGGAGGTGTGTGCTTCCCAGGATCCCGACCATGAAGTGGCTTCTGTTCATCCTGGTCGAGGGGGCCATTGGGGAATCTGTCCCATGAGTCCCTGGGCCCTCCTTTCTCTCTTCACCCCCCGCCCCGCCCCTTTTGTAAACCCACTCATTCCACGATTCCCGTGACCACCAGGCAGCCACCATCTCCAGGGCCCCGGTGTGTGGGAGGCTGGGGGGGCGGGGGGGCGGCTGCTTGGAGGAGGGGGATGGCCAGCACCAAGAGGGCGACGTGGCCCAAGGCGATTGGTCGTCAGGAATAATTTACAAGTGTCCACGGCCTCCTCCTCTGTCCCCCTAAGCTAAAAAGGATCGGAACCCCTTACTGAACCCGCAGACTAGAAGCTGACCTAAGACCCTCCGGTGGCTTTGTTCTGACTGATGTCCCTCTGCTGTCCCATCTGACCTTGCCCAGTTTGCTGACCGAGGGGCGTCGGGGTAGGTGGGTGTTGGGGGGAGAGGGCGGGAAGCGGGGGTGGGGTGGGGGGGGGCTCAGCGTGAGCCCAGGAGCTCCTTGAGGACCTCGCAGGTCTTCTTGTGCAGGACCTCGCGCAGCTTCCGGACCCGCCGGCCGCTGGCGGCGCCCACGAAGCTGCCGGGGCGCAGCATGGCCATGCCGCCCTCCACCTCCCCCATGATGATGAGCGGCGTCTCGCCCGCCGTCACGTTGGGGCAGGGGCAGGCCCAGTCCACCGGCAGCAGGGTGACCTCCAGCGGCTCCCGGCCCAGGAACTTGAGGCCCATCTTCTCGTCCTTGAGGACCTCGTCCACGGTGACCAGGGCGCGGCCGGCGGCCGGCTCCTCGGTCAGCTCGGACACGCGGCCCAGGATGACGAAGTCGCTGCGGCAGAAGCCGGTCACGAGCTTCTGCCGGGGCCGGCAGGCCTGGCAGCGCTGGCCGCCCCAGGGCAAGGGGCAGGACTCCTCGCAGGCCTCGCGGCTCTCGAAGTTGTTGCCGTTGCCCTCGCAGCCGCCGTAGACGAAGGACTGGCACTGGCCGGCCTGGCGGTTGTAGGCCCAGCGCGGGGCGTAGGCCTTGCAGGGCCCCTGCAGGGCGGGCAGGCTGCAGGCGGCCAGCGGGCCCCGCACGCAGGCCCGCACGCAGGCCTCGTAGGTCTCGAAGTGGTTGCGGTTGCGCTGGCAGGGGCCGGAGGTGAAGGTGAGGCAGTTGTTGGCCTGGGCGTCGAAGTGCCAGCGGGTCTGCTCCTCGCCGCCGCAGTCCTCGCCGTCGGGCGGCTGCAGGCACTCGGCCGCGGGGAAGGCCGTGCTGTTGGGGCCGCCGCTCTCGGCCGTGGCCGCCGCCGCCCGCACCACCGACAGCGGGAAGTCGGCGCGCAGGACGCCGGCGGCGTTGCGGGCGGTGCAGGTGTAGATGCCGGCGTCCTGCGGCTGGGCGTTGTAGATGACCAGCTGGGCGATGTTGGTGACCACCACGTTGCCCCGCACGTGGTTGGGCCCCATGACCACGTTCTCCCGGTCCTCCAGCTGCTTCTCCCAGGTCACGGCGGGCCGCGGCCGGCCCGCCACGTCGCACAGGAAGCTCACCGTCTCGCCCACGGTCACCGCCTGGGGCGCGGGCCGGCTGAGCAGCGCGGGGGCGGCCGCGTCCCAGCCGGGCGTCTCCGGGGCGGCGGTGGTGGGCCGCGCGGTGGTGCCGGGCGGCGGCGGCGGGCTGGTGTTGGGCCAGGTGAAGTGGTAGCGGCAGGCGACCACGGCCAGCGTGATGCCGCGGGAGCAGGCCTCGGCGTCCATGTAGCACCGGTTGTAGTAGGTGAGGCCGTCGGAGGCGCAGGTGAAGCTGGGCTCCTTCTCGCAGCGGTCCTTGCACTTGCACACGGGCTGGCCGTCCCAGATGTCGCACTCGGAGCCCTGCTGCAGGCACATGAAGTGGTCGCACGTGGCCTCCTTGGGCATGCCCACCGGGCCCCTCTTCCCCTTCACGTCCAGGTAGCGGGCCGCCACGCAGCTCCTGGTGCCGCACACGTTGGGGCAGCACTTCTCGTAGGTCTCACACTCCTGGGGAGAGCCAGAGCGAGAGGCCTGAGGAGGCGGAGGGCGGAGGCGACCAGGTCCCCGCCCCGCCCCACGGTGTCTGCAGAGAGAACTAGTAGGTGCTCATCTTTCTTCTATATATTTTTTAATTGATTTTTTTTTTTACAGAGAGGAAGGGAGAAGGATAGAGAGTTAGAAACATCGATGAGAGAAAAACATCGATCAGTTGTCTCCTGCACACCCCCTATTGGGGATGTACCCACAACCAGTGCCCTTGACCGGAATCAAACCTGGGACCCTTAAGTCCGCAGGCCGATGCTCTATCCACTGAGCCAAATCGGTTAGGGCTGCTCATTTTTCTTATTTTTTAATATATTTTATAGATTTTCACAGGGAGGAAGGGAGAGGGATAGAGAGTTAGAAACATCGATGAGAGAGGAACATTGATCAGCTGCTTCCTGCATGCTCCCTACTGGGGATAGAGCCTACAACCAAGGAACGTGCCCTTGATCGGAATCAAACCTGGAATCTGCCGGCTGATGCTCTATCCACTGAGCAAACTGGTTAGGGCTCTTATTTTTAAAAAATATGTTTTAATTGATTTTTCTTAGAGAGAGAGAGAGGAAAGGAGAGGGAAAGAGACAGAAACATCAGCGGCTGCCTCCTGTACGCCCCCTACTGGGGATCAAGCCCAAAACCCAGGCATGTGCCCTGACGGGGAATAGAATCGTGGGGCTCTTGGTTCATGGGACAACACTTAGCCAGCGGAGCCACAGCAGCTGGGCACTGTGCGCTCCATCCTGATGGTGACAGCTGAGGTGCTCAGAGCACTTGCTGTGTATTTGCGAAGCTAGGAGTGTTTGCATTTGTCAATTTAATCAGTGCTCGTCACCAGCCTGTGGGGTGGGTACCATTATCCCCGCTTCACGGGGGAGGGTCCCCGAGGCACAGCGAGGTCAGGTGACCCGCCCAAGGTCACACGGCAGGTCGTGTGGGAAGAGGCCGGCGGACGGAGGAGCACGCACGGCCTCGGAGCCGCAGTGCCGTGTGCACAGGGTGCGTGCTGGGAAAGGGGGCCGGCTCCCGGGGTGGGTGGATTCCAAAGTGGGGTTCTGTCTTCACGTCACACGTGTCATCGAGTGACCACGGCTGAGGTCTAGGTGGGAACACACGCCTCGTTGTCTTCTTTCCCCTTTGGGGTCAGGGAGCCCTGGCCGCATGGGAGCGGCCACCCCGAACGCCCAGGAGGGAGGGGGACCGGGGTTCGAGGCCGGCTGCACACGCCTCAGGGGGAGCAGCGGCTCCAAGGAGAGGCCCCGTCCGCCAGGAGACGAGAGGAAGGCTGGGCGGGCGGGCGGGCGGGCGGGACAGGCCCAGGACGCCAGCGTGGCCGCCACCGGCTGTGCCAGACCCCGTGCCCACGCCCACCGCGGGGGACATTTCGTGGGGAATTAACAAGAGGGACAGTCCCCGGGGCGGCAAAGGCCAGCCCGGCCACAGGGAGCGTACACGGCTAATCCCCTCTGCGTCTCTGTTGAGCCACCCTGGGCGCTAATTCCTGGTTTAATTCCTAGAAATGAGCAGCACGCTCGGCGCCGACGCAAACAAACGCTTTCACATGGTGTTTTCGACAATCACACCTCGTACCCCCTGGGCGGCGGGCACTGCTCCCAGCCTCGGCCCCGTGGCAGCCCTGTGAGCTGCTCCCACGAGGCCTGGCCTCTCCGGGTCCTTCCAGCCTCGGACACTCCGCATCAGCTACGAGGGGCCGTGGCCGTGGCCGTGGCCGTGGCCGTGGCCGGAGCCTGCCGCCCGGCTTGTTTACAGTTTTCCCCTCTCGGCTCAGAAGGGCACTTTGTTCCGCAGCCCTTGCTTGGCATGGGCTTCAGGCCGTGTGGGGGAGGCCTGGGGTCAGGGACGGGCAGACCTCCGAGCCGGGTCCCCGGGGAGAAAGGCCTGCTGGGGGGTTGAGCACAGAGAACCGGCCCCCCGGCCAGAGCGTCCTTCCATTCCCCAAGGGACTCGGATCCCTGACAGGCAGGTCCCCGGGCACCTCGGGAGGTGCTTTGGGCGGGAGGAACCTGGAGGGGATCCTCCCTTAGAACGCTTTTCCTTAGGGGCCCAGAGCAGACCCACAGCCGCCCGAGGCTCTGGCCCACACCCGTGCCTGCTTCCCTGTCCCAGAGCCCCACCCCACGGTCAGGCCAGTCTGAGCCTGTGAAACAGGCTTCCCTGCAAACGGGGCCAACTGAGGGGGTGGCCCCGTCGAGATGGGACCGCTCTGGCCCCCATTCCCCTCCGGAACCCCCCTTTCCCTCCGCTCCGCCATTGCTCGGGCAGCATGGGCAGGAGAAGCCTGAGAATCGTCTCCCGCTCAATCCCTCCCACCCCCCCGCAGGCACCGAGGCCGAGCCCCCCTCCAGGCGGCCCTGTGCTCGCCCGTGGGTGACAGGCGTTTGGCAGAGGGAGCACCAGGGTCTCATGTTCCCTGGTGATGCCCAGCCCTGAGCCCCAGGAGCCCACCAGGCCGGCAGGAAGTGCCTCTGCCAGGCAGGTGCCAGGTCCCAGCAGGCCCTTGGCTCCAGGGACGTGGCAGGCGTGACCCTTGCACTCAGGAGCTGGGAGAGGCCTGCCCTGCACAGCGGGCGCTCTGCTGAGAGCAGAAGGGGGACCCAGAGAGCTAGCGGACAGAGCCGAGTCTGCCTCCTCCCGGAGCCTGCCCGGGGCTGAGCCGTCCACCTCCTGGTCAGCTGTCTCTCTCCGAACCGGGGTCCGAGCCCCGGGAGGTGGTCTGGGGGCCGGATGCAGCCTCTGCTCTGTTGCCAGACGGAGGGGGGGTCCCGAGTCCCTCCCTGCTCAGGGCACTGTCCCGAGTGTCTGCTCTCACCTGCCAGGGCTGCTGGCACCTGCGCCTGGCATGGCCCTGGCTCAGAGCCGCCCTGGCAAACAGGAGACCAGGAACCCCAGGGCTCTGGGTCCCTGGTGAACCTGGACTTCACAATCACCTCTCCTCCTGGGCCTCAGCGTGAGACGCACACCCTGTTTGTCAGCCTGGGCCCTGCAGGGCACCCACCCCTGCGCCGTCCCCACACCTGCGCGGGCCCCTCCCCTCCCGGAGCCCCACTCACCTGGTCCGCCTCACACTCCCGCTTGCAGGTGCTCTGGGCGTCCACCCAGAGGTTGGGGTTCATGTCGTTGGGGCAGATGCCCGCGTGGGAGTAGCGGATGGGGGGCAGCGCCAGGCCCCTCGGGGGCGCCCCGAGCAGCAGCAGCAGCAGCAGCACGGCCACCCGCCCCCAGCGGGAGCAGAACCCGGGGCCTCCCGGGGCCCACATGGCGCGGTCCTCGGCGGCCAGAGGCCTCCCTGGGACGCCGCCAGGGGCCGCACCCACCGCGCCCTCTCCCTCTGGGGCCGCGGACACCTGCCCTCACCCCCGCCCCGGCCGGCCGGCGGAGCCCGCGGAGTTGTGCGGCTTCAGAGGAGAGAAAGGTCTCTCTTCTCCTGAGTGAGCGGGAGGGAGCCCAGCAGGGGCCGGCCGGCCGGCGGGATCTCCGTCCGGGCGCCCCCCGCCTGGGAGCGAGCGAGCCTGCCGCCTGTCCGGGGCGGGTGGGCGGTGGGCGGGCGGCCGCGCTGCTCTGGCCGGCGGATCACAGACGTGCTGCCGGGAGGGGAAAGCTGGAAGCAGTTTGGCGGCGTATCTGGCACGGTGGGACACCTGCTTGTTTTTGACTCCGGGAGGCCTTAACCCCTTCCATGTGCTGCGGGGAGCTGGCTCCGGGACACGCAGGCTCACTGGGCAGGAGCAGCGTGCTCCCCTCTCCCCTGCTCCCCCTCCCCGGCCCCCTCCTCCCGGCCCCCTCCTCCCCGGCCACCTCTGAGGAACACACAGTCGCTTGTTACGAGGAGGGACCTGCAGCCGCGGGGTGCGCATCGCCCGGCCCGACAGCACATCTGAGAACAAATGACGTGGAAAAACAACAAGTTCACGGCCGAGCGAGGGTGGGCCTGCGCGGAGGCCAGCCCTGCAGTGTAAGCGGACGCCCGCGCCAGCACCGGTCCCTTTGGGGGGGCGGGGTGGAGGAGGGGGTGCACCGACAGTTCCCTGTCTTTCTATCCCAGGCAGCTTGGTCTCAAGTTCCAACGTCGGTGCATTTCCCCCGAATCATTCCAGACGCACATACCAGCCACGCTCGGCTGCGGCGGCCGGGGTATCACATTCCCGCGCTCCATGCTTCTGGCTCCAGGAAAGCCTACGGGGGCGTCCGGGGCGCGGGGCTGCGCTCAGGAGCTCTTGGGGGGGGGGGGGCGCCAGGCACTTTCCAGTTGTTTCATCCCCACTTTCCCCGACTTTACAAAGAAGGAGAGAGCGATGGACTGGCCCACGGTCACCCGCAGGAAGCAGGGACAGCAATGCCACTTACTGATTATATATATATATATATATATTTTAAAAATAGTTTATTGATTTCTTACAGAGAGGAAGGGAGAGAAAGGGATAGTTAGAAACACCGATGAGCCGAAACCTGTTTGGCTCAGTGGTTAGAGCGTCGGCCTGCGGACTGAAAGGTCCCGGGTTCGATTCCGATCAAGGGCATGTCCATTGGATGCAGGCACATCCCCGGTAGGGGGTGTGCAAGAGGCAGCTGATGGATGATTCTCTCTCATCGACATTTCTAGCTCTCTATCTCTCTCCCTTCCTCTGTAAAAAATTAATAAGATATATTTTTTAAAAAGAAGAAAAATAAAAAGAAACATCGATGAGAGAGAAACATCGATCAGCTGCCTTTTGCACATCTCCTACTGGGGAGGTGCCCTCAACCAAGGTACATGCCCTTGCTTGACTAAGGTGACCAGACGTCCCACTAAAATGCCCTGTGAAGGGGACAGGCTGAGCATTTTCGACTCGGTCACCCGATCCCGGTGCGGTCAGAGGCGGGGAGACAGGTCCCTGGGAGGGGCACCTCGTCAAGGCCAAGCCCTCTAGCATGTGGCATCGGCGCTGCTGTGTCTCAGGATGGCGGGCAGGGTGGGCTCGGCACCTGTCAGAGCCAGAAGGGACCCGGGAGGTCCCCAGCAGTGCTCCCATTTTACAGATGGGCAAACTGAGTCCTGCACAAGAGCGCCCTCTCCCCGGGGGCTGCAGCTCGCCACCCACTTCGGTCGTGAAAAGGCAGCTTGGCCCTGCAGGCCCTCTCCCTGCCACTCTCGCTCTCGGGGTGGCATGCTGCCTTCTCCCACCCGAGCCAGCGCCCTCCTGTGGGGCGGGCCATGCTGCAGGATCCGTCTCTCCTGCTCCTGTCAGCGCGCTAATGAAGGGTGTCAGGCCTCATCCTCCGAATCACTGGCATAAAGCTCCCTCCGAGGCCGGCCCTGCAGTGCAGCCAGACAGCGGGCGGCGCCGGCTGCTCCGAATTCCCCGTAATTTCATAAACCCGGGCGCCGGCTGCTCCGCCGTGGCCCCGCACGCACGGGCAGGGCGCGGTGTGGGCGGCCTCCTCTGGTGCCACAGAGGGAAACGGACGGTGACACGTTCCTGAGCAGGTCGTAGGCAAACTGTCACCGCCCCATTCGGGGAGGACAGGAGGGAGAGGAGGCCGATTTCTGGGGAGTCATCGCTGAGAGCACTGGAGGGGGTGGGGGACGGAGGAGGGGGACACACAGCAGAGGGGAAAGGGGAGGGGCAATCAGCAAAGCAGGGGCCACTGGGCTCCCTCCATTTCCCCGCCGCCCCCCCTTCCCCCGCTGCTCCAGGTCCGTGCAGAAAGCCTGGCCCAGCTCCTTCCAGCCCGGCCCCCTGTCCCAGGCCCCATCCCGGCCGGCCTGCTGCTCGGAGAACTCACAGCGGCATTGGGGAAGGAGCCCGGGGCTCTCAGCCTCCCTCTCAGGCCTTCCAACTCTCCCACCAGCGCCCAGCTCAGAATAATAAGTAACATCGGATGAGGGCGCGGAGCCCACACCGCGTTTTCCCCGACACCGGCCCCGGGAGGGAGCGGGGAGCCCGCCGGGGGCCTGGGGAACGGAGGAAACCGAGTCACAGAGCTGAGGCTGGCTGCAGGCCCCGGGCTCAGCCTCCGCCCCAGACCCTGCCCTCCGAGAGGCCCCGCTGGCCGCCCTCAGCCCCGCCTGCTCTGCCCGGGGAGTGCTTTGAAGTCTCTGCTCCGGCCCTCCCTCCGCGGCCGCACCGGCTCTGCCTGCCTGTCTCCCTGGAACTCTGGGCGCTGGCGGGGCCCCCCAGCCTCCGGGACCAGGGAGGGCCCAGCCGCCCATCCCGCTGCCCACCAGGCCATCCCTCCCCCTTTAGCTGGCCTCTGGGGAGAGGGAGGGGTGGGTGTGGCTGACCTTGGGGTGACCCTGGCTTTTCCTCCTCCCGAGGGCACTGGGCACCGCTGGGTCAGGAGGAGGCTGGCCCCCCAGACGTCAGCTCGGAAGGGCCCCAGCCCACAGCGCTGTGGAGGGCAGGAGGCCACAGACCCTTCCCACCCTCCAGGCCTCCAGGGAGCTTCCAAGGACATCACCCCGACAGTGAACTCTGGGTGACCCCTGACCTCAGGCCCCACTTAGCATAACAGCGCCTGAGCCGCCAGGGCCTTGACAGGACAACAGAGCTGGCACCACCTTACAAACTGGCCGGCCCTCTCCCTCCAGGGACCTCGGCCACGCAGGCGCAGGCCGTGGGACCCCCAGAGACCCCCAGGGCGCCACGCCAGCCTGGCAGCCGCTCATCACACACCACCCTCTTACCCTCCAACGTCGCCTCCATCTCTCCTACTTGATTTTTATTTTTATTTTTTAAATATTTGTATTGATATATATATATATACAATATATATATATATCTATATATATATTTATTTTTATTTTTATTTTTTTTACAGAGAGGAAGGGAGAGGGATAGAGAGCTAGAAATGTCGATGAGAGAGAAACACCGACCAGCTGCCTCCTCCACACCCCCCACTGGGGACGTGCCCGCAACCAAGGTACATGCCCTTGACCAGAATTGAACCTGGGACCTCTCCGTCTGCAGGCTGACACTCTATCCACTGAGCCAAACCCGATTCGGCATTCCTAATTGATTTTTATTTATTTTATTTTATTTTATTATTTTTTAAAAATATATTTTATTGATTTTTACAGAGAGGAATGGAGAGAGATAGTTAGAAACATCGATGAGAGAGAGTCATCGATCAGCTGCCTCTTGCACACCCCCTACTGGGGATGTGCTCGCAACCAAAGTACATGCCCTTGCCCGGAATCGAACCTGGGACCTTTCAGTCCCCAAGCCGACGCTCTATCCGCCGAGCCAAACCGGTTTCGGTTCCTACTTGATTTTTAAAAAACATATGTGTGTGTGTGTGTGTGTGTGTGTGTGTGTGTGTTTATTTGTTTGTTTATTTATTTATTTAGAGAGGAAGAGGAAGTGAGAGGAAGAAACATCGATGAGAGAGAAGCATTAATATCAATGGGTTGCCTCCTGCATGCCCCCTACTGGGGATGGAGCCCACAACCCGGGCATGTGCCCTGACCTGGAATCGAACCAGTGACCTCTCGGTGCACAGGAAGATGCCCAACCAACTGAGCCACACCAGCCAGGGCACCTACTCGAATGTGCCGTTCTGGGCACACAGTCCTTGTGCTCAGAGAGGGCGCTGTCTGGGCCAGAAAACAAACACGGAAGAGCGCGAAGAAAAGTAACAAACGCTGTCTCGGGGTCTTGCAGGGCTGGGAGCAGGGAGGACGGAGAGAGGCCGTGACCTGGGTGGGCCTTGGAGACGGAGCGGGAGTCCACAGCGAGACAGCGGAGGCGGCGGCTGCCTGCGCTTCTCCTCGGAAAGCCCTGGCCCACGGCGCAGCCTCCTCCGCCAGGGCCCCCTCCTCAGGGCCCCGGCCCCCGGGAAGGGGGAGCGAGAGGGAGGCCAGTGGGTTTAGGAGATGAGGTGGGGGTGGGAGCCGCAGGTCTCGCTTCCTCGCGGGGCGGCCTCAGCAAAGTCAGACCAGCGGCCCGTCCTGGTCCACCCCGCGTGGGCCCCCAGGCTGCAGCCAGATGGATGGGAGAGGCCGACGCCCGGGAGTCTCCCTCCCCTGATGCTGTCGTCCAGACATATGTGGGGAGGAGGAAGGCTTTCAGAAGCGAAGCAGGGATTGGGGTCCTCAGTGAGGGAGCTCAGAGAGGCTTCTCGGGAGGCCTGGGCGGCCTCAGCTGAAGGCGGTGATCAGTCAGATCCAGGCCAGGGAATAAAGCCGGCCGCGCCTTCCCCAGCTGGGGACCCCCTGCCCGCGCAGAGCCGTGGCCTGGCTTACATTACAGCCTGTGTGAACTCGCCCCTCCGAGTGCGGCCGGCGGCACGGGGCCTCGGAATCATCGCGGGGCCTCAGCAGATGGTGGAGGCGGGCGGGCGGGCGGGGGGGGGGGGGGGGGGCGTCAGCTGTGGGACACGTGACCGCCGGCATCTG